AAAAAAACTTCAGGACCAGACTTCAAAGAGAAACTGCTGAGCTACAGTTCATCTTCAAGTTTGACACAATCAACTCTGGATTAAACAAAGACTGTGAATGGCTTGCTAACTACAAAAGCAGCTTCTCCTCTCTTGGAATTCACGCCTCCAGATCAGCTACTAGAAGTGGGCCTCATCCTCCTTGATTGGATCCGCTTCGTCATCTCCAGCCTGATTCTGGCCTGCATATTTATACCTGCCTCTGGAAATTTCCACTACATGCATCTGACGAAGTGGGTCTTTGCCCACGAAAGCTTATGCTCCTACACTTCAGTTAGTCTCTAAGGTGCCACAGGACTCCTCACCGCTTTAACGCCATTGTTACTCATTGTCATTTTCTTCTCTGTCTCATTCCCTCTTCACCTTTGAAACACAGTGGACAAGAATTTATACATGCGCATACATACACACACATGCCACACACACACACTATTTCCCATCATACTACTTATACACTATAGTAAACATTGACTTCACACCACTATGATGCTTTTGTCTCCTGATCTACTGAGGTCTGACTGTGTATCATGCTCTAGTTCATGGAGGACCCTTTCAGGTAAGGGCAAAGGGAGAAGCAAACTACCACGTTCCCTTTGCAAAATTTTTGGTGCATCATCCCTTCTGGTAGGATGAGTTAGGGGATCCTGCGGACTGTGATGACTGCAAATTCCCTCCCAACAACTCTGGTCTCAGGGCCCATGGCTACAGGAAATCTATTCCATCCATACAGAGCCTGAAGTCAACTTGCAGGTTTCACTGACCACCTCTCCCTTGTTTCAGAATCAGAGTTGGCAATAGCAGTCTTGGCTGTTCATTAACGACTTGGAAAAGGGCCCTGAGCAAGGTAACATAGATACAGCTTTGACATGTGACACCTCCCACCTATAACTGTGCATGAAAAACTGAGCTTAGAACAGGGAAAATAGCCCAAAGAAAGCAAAACATCAACTACTGCTCTATCTGCACCCACAGACCTCTGATACTCCATTGGCTATTAGACACTAAGGTGGTTGGTTGGGAGGCAGGAAAACTGCAATATTTCCTCTCTTCCATACAGGAGGCCATCAGTCCAATGTAAGCAAACACATTGCAGTTACTATGAGAGAAGAGCTTGCTATGAAAGAAGAAGGTGATGTGGAAGAAGTGTGGGTAAGCTTATCTCGAGGCTTCCATCATAAAGTGATAAAAGTTTCCTTCAATGCTGCTCCGGCATGCCTGCCTCTGCAGTTCTGCATTCAGTTTTGGGCAGCACAAAGACTGAAAAGGATACCTACAAGAGCAGCAAAAAGTATTAGCTGCGTGGAGGGATGGTGCTCTAACGATCCCCAGAGAATGTGCCAGCAGATGCTTTTTGCTCCTGGTAGGTTCAGTCATGCCAGAATGGACTGGTGGTGAGGGAGGCAGGCAAAACATCAATGCCAATCCTCCAGGTTGTGACTTAGGCACAGGGCTAACAACCCTGACCCATTACAAAACAAAATGCATTACAGAAACAGTGATGGAGAAAGAAACCATTACGGTGTGTGATGACCTTTAAAAGTCAATGACCCATATGCCTGCCAGTGGTAAAAGCCAAAAGAGAGCCACTGGCATGGGAACTTAGTGCTCAACACCAAGACAAGGACCAAACTTGGGTTTTTTTTGGAAGGCATGGGCAAAGTACGAAATAGGGAAACTCGCTCAGACCACAGCAGAGAGGAGACAATTTACACATCCTGGGTGTCAGCGAGAGCAGATGGCTAGAACTAGGAAGATTCACAACAGCCTCGGGAGATACTTTGCTATACTTTGGATGAGATGATGGACCACACCATGAGATTGTTGCCATCCTTTGGAAGAAGAGGGTGGGGAGCATTCCCTGCTTGAGTAGAAGTCCATCAGCAGCAGACTTAGGAGACCCAGACTGAAAGGGAAACAATATCACCCTGGTACAGTGCTGGGCTCTGATGAAAGACAGTGATGAAGAAGTAAAAGACAATTTCTGCCTTACATCACAGGGAGAGTTAGGCCGTGGCATGGTACAGTCTCTAAGTATCATCACGAGAGACCTGAATGCCCAGGTCGGTAAGCCAACATAAACAATGACAGAGCAATGGAAAGATGTAAGAGTGGCACCATGAATGCAAATGGAGAGAGGCTTGTTGATTTCTGCAATATGAATGACCCAGTCGTTGGCAGTACCCTCTTTCGACATTGTGACATTCACAAGCAAACTAAGGGTATGTCTACACTACCCTCCTAGTTCGAACTAGGAGGGTAATGTAGGCATACCGAACGTGCAAATGAAGCCCGGGATTTGAATTTCCCGGGCTTTATTTGCATAAGCGGGGAGCCGCCATTTTTAAATCCCCGCTGGTTCAAACCCCATGTAGCGCAGCTACACGAGGCTCGAACTAGGTAGTTTGGACTAGGTTCCTATTCCGAACTACCGGTACACCTCAAATCCCGGGCTTCATTTGCAAGTGCGGTATGCCTACATTACCCCGCTAGTTCAAACTAGCGGGGTAGTGTAGACATACCCATGAGCAGTATCGCAGGGCCCACCAAGAAGTCAAACACAAGTAGGGGGCATGCAGGACATGCTGGCATGTCAGCCCACAGCCACAGGGGGTCCAATCCAGAGAAACCGGCAGGCTGGGTAGAGTGCTCAGCTGCTGCTGCTCTCAGCCAGGCCCCCAGGGCTCTCCTGCAGGCTGCTTTGCTAAGAAGCAGGCAACCAGGCAAGCGACCGGGTCTGGCTAGGGGTGTGCGTGCCCCTTCCCCTCCGGTCCAGGGCTGTCTCTGCCTCTGGACCCCCTCTCCCCACACACACCCTTTAGAAATGGGAGAGCTGCAGCCACATATAGCCAGAATTCTGCCACTCTTCTTTCCCTGCCGATCAGGGAGCAAGGGGAAAGTGCATAGTTTGTGTGACTTTCTCTCACTCCTGGCTGCCCATTTCCCTTCACCCCCTGATCATCAAAGGAAGAGAAAGAACAGCAATGAGCCAGTATGTGCAGCTGCAGCCCCCCTCCCCTCCCAGAATGGTGCCCTTGGTCGTCCCCCCACTTGCCCCTACATCTCCCAGCCCTCTGCCCTGACCCTCTCACCCCCTACCCTGATTTCTGCCCCCACACCCTCAGCCCCCGGCCCTTATTCCTGAACCCTCAAAACCTTCCTGCCCTGACTCTCCCACCTCAGCCCTCGTTCTGATTCTGGAACCTCCCACATGCCCCCTGCCCTGAGCCCACCTCCCCAGCCCCCTGCCCTGACCAACAAACCCCTCAGCTCCCTGCCATGACCCCCCCATCCCCAGATCCCTGCCTGAATTCCTGCACCCCCAAACTCTCCTGCCCTGAACTCCCCCATTCCAACCCTCCGCCTAGAGCCCCCACTCCACCTCACACTTACATTTCTCACCGGTAGTGCTATATCGCACCCCCTGATATCCTGCTCTGAGCACCCCCCTAGGGGATGCAATATGACAGTACCTGTGAGAAATTTGTTACTTTCACCCCTGTGACCTACTAGGTACAATTAAAACTATGCAAATTTACTTAATGATTCCTTAATACACTGAGAAGATGGTGTAAATAATGTTAGGTAAGCAGTAATACTCCAGAGGTAAGCTGTGAGAAGAGAGAGGGGCCCAAAGTCATATCTTGAATGCCCTTCCCTGAACAGCTAGTTGTGCCCCTGGTAGAGCAGACAAATGACATTATATTGATAACCTAGCAACACAAGCAGAGGATGCAGCTGTGTGTGGTGAACAAGGAACATTCTACTGAATGCCACAGCTTATTGGTGGTTAACAACAGACACCAACAAACACTCTTACCAGGGACAAACAAGGCCACCAATTAACAACAGAAAAAGAACAAGAAATGTGCTGCACAGAGCATTTCAAATTGTTGCTGAACAGGGAGCCACCTAAAGAGAAAGCAAACATTCAGGAGGCAGAAGAAGATCTTGGTATCAACATCAACACTCCAAGTAAGGAAGAGATCATTCAAGCCATCAAATCCTTAAAAAATGGGAAAGCTTCTGGCAAAGATAATTTAAATGAAGAATTGTTCAAGGCAAAGCGTGCATTAGCAGCATCTATCTGTTTACGTCAGTCTAGGAAAGGAAAAAAATGCCAGAGGAGTGAACCAATGGGATTATAGTGAAGATACTGTTGGAAATAAGTCCTAGACACTCTGGTACAGTGAAAACAAGCAAGAGAGGGATTATAGTGAAGATACTGTTGGAAATAAGTCCTGGACACTCGGGTACAGTGAAAACAAGCAAGAGGATTTATTGCACACAGCTGGTGGAGTGTCCCTCAGCCTTTAGGCTGGGCTGGTGAACCCTGGTTAAACAAAACATTACAATAGAATATATAGGTGGCACATAGACGGAGGAGAAGCAATTTGATAGGTTCTAGCAGCAAGACAAAATGAGCACATAAGCCAATAACCTATGAAAGATTACATAATATCTCCGCCCATTGCCAATTAAACACCTTATCTCTAATACAGGAAATTACTCCTAACGAGCTAAATAAGCCAACATAAAACAAAAAAGACATTTTAATGGCAATTATGTCTATTCAAATTATGATTACTCCTAACAAGCTAAATAAGCCAACATAAAACAAGACTCCTAACGAGCTAAATAAGCCAACATAAAACAAAAAAGACATTTTAATGGCAATTATGTCTATTCAAATTATGATGCGTTTACTGCAGAATGATATTGCTTCACATTGGCATAGTCCTTGGGCACTGAGAACAACCTTGATGCGTTTACTGCAGAATGATATTGCTTCGCGTTGGCATAGCCCTTGGGCACTGAGAACAACCTTAACAAAGTTAAGGTTTTGGTACCAGCCAGTGTCTTATCTGGATGCGGCCCCTTGGAATGTGGTTGCCAGGGTGACCAGGGTCCTGTTAGCTGTCTGTGCTGTATGTTCCCAGGCCTGTCTCAAATTTAGGATCAAATAGGGGTTCTTAGCAAAATACCATGGACTACCTCAGTTTATCCTACAAAACCAAAGAAAAGGAATTTCAGCGATTGCAATAATTGGTGTGGTCTCACTTTTGTCTGTACCAAGCAAAGTAAGATAATTGGGCAGCATATATCAGAGGCAGTTGAGAGCTTTTCTCAGAAAAAAGCATTCCCATTTTCTGAAATGGCATGGCCCCACAGACCAGATCATCACGCTACAAAACATAATAGAACAATGGTTAGCATGGCAACGGCAACTCTACAGAAGCTTCAAAGACTTTGAGAAGACTTTTGATACCATTCACAGGTTCAGCCTTTAGCATATTCCGCAGGCACATGGCATCCCTCTCTGTATAATCAACATCATCAAAAGTTTATTTTTCAACTTTACAAGCAGTGTTATCACTGTGATCTCGGTTTCAAAGTCAAAAGTTTTGCCGGGATGTAAATGCAGCTTCTATCAACATAGAAGTGTTTCTGCCAGTACAGTGTCCATCAGTCCTCCAATAAGCTATAACAGCAAAAGAACTTTAATGCCAGTCAAGTACACCTGCTCTTGGGCTTATCCTGGCATAGATATGTCAGTTTAAAAAAATTACATCTTTGCCTGACCTCGCTGTGATGGTATAAGTGTATGGTACTACAGCGGCAATGAAGCAATGAATAAGCTGCTTTCTGTTTCCTGTTATGCAGCATGAATTGGTAATGGCTCTCCCATTGCAGAACCTCTGTTACTGGTGATGGTACATTAGCCAGAAATAGCCCACACTGACAGGCTGGCTGACCAGTGTGGGGAACTGCCCCGGGCCCAGGAATTCAAAGGCTCCCTTTAAATTGCCACTGAGCCCTGGGCAGCATGCTCTGGGCAGTGCTGAAGGGGCAGAATATGGGTGGTGCTGAGGGCTGACTGTCCAGCCCTCACCTTCTGCCCAAGGTCCTGCACTTGCCAGAACCACAAAGTGGACCCTCCCCCCCTCCCACACACACACATACACAAACCTTGCCAACAGGCCCTGCTAACCTGTTGGCTCACCTGCATTCTGACTTTGAGTCCAAGTTGAAGTTGCAGGCACATCAGCTGGGAGGCGAGTGGGGATGAGAGGGAGAGTGGGAAGAGGAGAAACATCTTTGTACTGTTGCACTGAACAAATTAAATCAGCCATTGCAAAATGCATGGAAACCCGTAATGCTAGTTTAAAGTCAGTCCTTTTTCAGAGCACTGCTCTCCAACGATAGTACTAACTATCAAGAAAACACTGTAATCCATCTATTGAATACAGTGTATGTGTATGTACAAAGTATAGCTCTGATCCTGCTAACACTTAAGTAATTGTATGATTTTAGTCAGGGCTGGATTAATGCATAAAATCTATTAATAGTGTTTAGGGTCAGAAAGGACCATAAACACTTTGAGGCTACTCCCAAGAGCAAAGAGGTGCCTTCGTTAAGTGCCTCATTTTGCAATTATACTATCCTAACATATATTCAGGCACAAGAATCTCTACTAAGAGAGTGTCATCCATGCTGTCAAAGATGTCTGAGTTGGCGCTGGTCACCTCTATCTAAACAGCAATTATCCCAACCAAGAAAAACTTTGAAAACATTAAAGATTTCTGCAATTTTTTCCATCAGCTTATAAGTCGAATTAGTAGAAAAATCAGGAATGAATCCTATAGCCATTTTCTTTTATTTATTTTTAAATCTCCTTTTTTCTCTTATTTAAAACATTTCATCAACTACTTGAAATTCAGAAAATTCCAATCAGTTTTAATAATTGATCAATAAACAAGAAATGATTTCCAAACATTTTCTCTATTTTTTCATTCAAAATTCTGTCAAAATTTGTATCTACAAAAAAATTAAACCAGACCTGGTCATAAAGGATGGACCAGGCGAATAGTAAACAGTAGACTCCAATTAATTACAAATACATAGGAGGCCAGTTATTGAATCATTTACTAATTGTTAGGCTTCTGATGCAACAGATCAATATATTAATGCAGGATGTAGCAAACTTGTAGCTTAAAAAAAAAGGCATGACAACAAAATAAAGGAAAATGTTCATGTTACAGAAACTTGTGCAAGGTTCCAAGCTTTTTTAGCAGCTGTCTGTCTCAGGAGACCACCTAACATAGTCCAAATGTGCAGAGCACAGTTCTGCCCCACAGCTCCCTGTTTAAGCAGCCTAGCACTAGCAGTCCCCGGAACGGCTGCTTAAGGAAGGTTTTACCGTATGTAGTGAAATCAGGCTTGAACTGGGCAACAGCACACATTCTGACACTCTCATGAGCTGTCTTTTTGGGCTGCAGAACGTGTGTCTTACGGAGAAGAACACAAGCTTAAGGAGCCTAGTAGAGTCCATGGATATAAGTGAACCTCACTTAGGTAGGATGGCCATATTTACTAAAGGGAAAATGGGACACCACCGGGGGCTGACCTAAACCCTCCTTTCTCCTTCAGGCCTGGCCCCGGCCACTGGCCCTCCCTCTTGTCCAAAACCTCCACACCACATGGGGCTGGCCTGAGCCACTCACCAGACCCCTCCCTGTCCCCTACTTCTCCCACCACACAAGCCTGGGGTCACTTCTCCCTCAAGCCCTTTCTTTCCTCTATGCAAGGCTGTCACTGGTCACTCGAGCCTACCTACTCCCCCCCAACTTGGCTTGCCCCCTTGTATGGGGTTGGCATCATTGTTTACTATCCTGCACAGTCCTCTGCATGTCACTTTTTCAACAAAGCAGGTATTTGTGCTATTTGTACTTGCCAACATATTAAATTGGTAACAGCAAACAGGCCAAATGCCCACTTTTGCCCCCCAAAAAGAGGATGGCCAAACAGGGCTTTAAAAAGGGACTGTCCTGGCCAAAACAGAACAGATGGTCACACTAAATATAGGGGGAGCCAAACCCAGCAGAGCATTCAAACATTTCAAACACCTCCACAATCCATTGTGAGTGACATCTCATTTTGGTGTCTTAAGTGGACTACTATTCTGTGAAAGGAGCTGGGAAGAGTCTTAGCACTATTTTTTTCTCCCAAGCTACACCCCAGCCTCCCATCCCTCTCAAGCATATATATAGCACTACTGTTTATGGATATTTTGTGTGGCAAAACTAAGGCTCAGTGAAACCTGACTAACTTCTTCATTGTTCATAGATCCTGGCACAGGTCTGTTTGCTTAGCAGAGTTCGTGACTGATGTGAGAGAGACAAAATCAGACAGAAGGCAGACTGAGCAGCAGGAACAGAGTGAAATAAGAGAGCAGGGAGACTCACCTGGTGGGGGAAGGGAAGAGGAACCTACCCAGGACCAGGGAAAGGAAATAGACACAGAAGAGCTAACCCTTTCATGAAAAGTTGCTGTAAAATTTGAGACCAATGGAAAACAGGATGGAGACCTGTTCAGCTGGAGACAATGGGAACAAGGGGTTGACCCAGTTAAGTTGGGAAGGATGTGGAAGGTGACTCACCCTGAATGATCAGATGGAAGTTCTTCTCCATTTTCAGTTTTCCTTCAACATTGTACACTTGCACTTTGTAATTTCCACTGTCCTCTTTCACCAGGCGGTGAATTTGCAGGGTCCCATTTTGGGACATATTATATGCTTCTTTCTTCATATAATTTGTGATGTCGTTATTTTTTAATTTCATAATGACCGAATTATCTTTGTACCATCTTATTTCATCTGTCTTTTGTATAGAGAAGTCAGAAATGGTCAAAAAAGCAAAATCATCCAGAACTTTATAGACTTCATCTGAAGAACCTTCAAACAGGAGAGAGAACAATACAGTCCAGTATCTTGATTACAAATGCAGACCTGAGAATTAACTCCCCACTTCTCTCCTAGTACCCAAACCACATCTCATTAACAAGGTATGCATTTATGTCGCTGCTTTCATCTCAGGCCCTCAAAGTCACTCCCAAACATTAGTTAGTTAAGCCTCCCAACACCCCCATTTTAATTCTGAGACAATGGAGAAGCTAAGGGCCAAATCTTCAGAAAGGGTTTGTGGGATTATGGGTGCCAAGGTTTTGGAGATGGTCATTTTAAGACCCCCTTGGGCCTGATTTTCAAAGGTGCTGAGCACCTGCAGTGCCAAGTCAAGGAGCGTGCATTTTCTCTGCATATCAGGCTCTATTGTATGTGCCTCAAGATGGTCACCCAGCGCAGAGGCAGCCAAAATCACTTAATACACTTCTGATGTAGCCAGGACTTTCAAGTGACTGGTGATTTTGGGTGTCTCAGTTTGACCTTGAGAGAAGTTAAAGATCAGCTGCTCAGGGTTTTCCAAAAAGTCAGCCTCCCTAAATGTGTGTCAAGTTGAACACTGAAAATCATTAGTCACTTTTAAAAACCTTGATCTAAGCCACTTGCCTAAACTTCACACCCAATGAGTGACAAAGGTGGGAGTAAGAGGTCCTGGCCCCCTCATAGCTGTGACCCCAGCATTCACACCTTCTCTCCAAGAGCTCTATTTGACACTTTCTCCTGATAAACATGGGCCCAAAAGCAGGTTTTTCACTCTTTTTAGGCCACCTTTGAGTTCAGTTCCCTTTGTGCAAAACAGATCACAAGGATGCTACTGCAAGTGGCTGTTCATTACTTGAAGATGTTAGATGTCACAGAAGGGCTAGCTATAGGTATTATTAAGAAAGGCAAAGGCTGCATAAAATTATTTATGCTGTTACTGATAAGGAAGTGTTTCTCTTCCCCTGGTATGTTTCGTCACAAGATCTCATGCCCATTTATCTCAAATGGAATCACAGCCACTACTACTGAAGAAAAATAGTGGATTGGGAGTTTAGAACACAGATTTAGCCTGAAGATGGCTTCAAACGGGAAGTTGACACCACATAGACATTTGTGTAGATTCTTAGTCCATACTGGATAAGCAAGTTGATTAAAAATACTGAAATTATCAGTAATAGGTTAAATACATGCTTGTAGTTTCAGATACATTTGTTAGCAGCAAAACTTTCATTCATAACCAGAGATTATTTTATCTTCCATTTGCTTATTCCTCTCTAATCTATGGAATGAAGCTATACAGTACTGATAGACATAGTGAGCTATGCTGAAGTATTTTTACATAGTCTAGGTTCTTTCCCCCTTAGAGAGAAACTATAAAAATCTTTTATTATAAATATATAATCCTTCATTATACAATTTTCATTATATCTAGGATAGGATAAAATATATAAAAGAGATGAAAACTGAAAAATAATCACTGCTTTGTTCAATAGTAATATTGGAGTCAAATCAAAAAATTAGAATACATGATTGTGCAGAAAAATAATGAGAGGGACAGCCTGTGAGACATTGAAGAGTTTCCTGTAATGCATGCACCATCTCAAAGGTAAGCTATTATTGTGCTATCAAGTTTCTTAAAAAGCATTTGGCATTCCTAATGGAACATTCAGAAATCACTCACTCCTGGAAGTGGAACTATTTTAATACTATTCATTCCCCAATAAGTGTTAACAGAAGCACCAAAAATCTTTGTAAAACTTTTTTTAAACAAATAAACATACATTTAATTTAGATACTTGCAATTCCTCAGAATTACTCCCAGAGATTTGAGTGATTATTAGTCATTATTTCTATTGCAAATTCTATAATAATATATTTATATTTTGCATGTGGCAAAGAGGAAAAGGTTGATCAAAATCCTGAGGAAGGAAAGCTCAAATGGTATTCTAATTGACAGACAATTCTGATAGGTCTTTAAAAGTTTGCTTTAAAGTTTGCTTGGTCTCCCATATCATTGGAACAGAAGCCTGAACATCCCAGACAACAGTAAGTCATCTGTCTGGACAATGAAACAATATTTGTGATCATGCCAACTGAAATACTTCTGCCAAGGACCAAGTGATGAGAATCTAGCTACAAACTGCTCTCTTGTAGTCTTGTAGCATATGCACTAAACTAAAAGGAGCAGTGCTTACAGTAACTTTACCCGTCTGAGAAAAGAAGCACTCACTTTTCAAGTGTCAAGCACTTGAAACAAATAAAGCCATTCAAGGAAATATGTTTTAAGTCCATAGCAACAACATACTCCCTATTTATCTAGTAATTCTATATAGAAAATATTAAACAGCCATCATAAATAATCTACTGTTGGATTTATTCACATCATTCATTAATGATTCTTGTGTACTGGATCCACTATTTCTTGTTATGATTTTAGTTTACAAATTACAACTACATTTTTAGATCCAAGTCTTTTTAAAAGGTTAAATACCAATAAGTATGTCCCTAATGTAACTTACAAATAAGATTAACTCCACTGAGCTATATAATTATTTGTATATATCATCCTTTCTATCAACATTCATGTGTAAAAATACTTGCACTGTCTACAATTTTGTTTCTCTTTAATAAAATGTTATTTTCTAGAAAAGAGCAACAGATCTACATGATGCACAGTGAAGTCTCTCTTGAAGAGGATTGCAAAAAAGTGTTTCACTGAGGACATCAGATAAAACTCCATGCTTACACCTACCTATCAGATAAAGAATTGTTAACTTGAAGATAAAATCATTTACAAAGAATTGTTAACTTGAAGATAAAATCATTTACAGTGTATTATTACAAAAATTATAATAGCAACCATAGGTTATGGGTTCCCATGGACTGAAGGCTAAATAAAATACTAATAGTCACAAGATCTTAAAGCACTTTTCTAAGGTAAGTTAATATCATTATCTCCATTTTACCAATGGGAAAAGTTAGGGCAGTGCTTGATCCTACCAGGAGCTGAGCATTCTGTCCCCAACAGCAAAGCATTTGAGTACATGTTTCAATCTAAGCACGTGAATAGTTCTTTTGAAGTCAAAGGGACAACTCGCATGCCTAAAGTGAAGCATGTTCTTAAGCACTTTGCCTGGACTGGGGACAGAGTACTGATAACTTGGCTGTATTGAGCCCTAAGGGTTTGAGGATGAAATCTTGGCTCTCTTAAAGTCAATGGCAAAGGATCAGGGCCAGAATTTTACCCTAAAAGTCCCCATTGCCAGGTCCTCAAATATCTGATCTTCACAAGGGCTAGGTACAGTTTGGGGGGGCCCTTTAAATGATTTATTTGCCCTGCACTTGCTGTAACAATAGCAATACCCTCGTACAGACCAGGGGACAAATTCATTTCTGCTTTCGGCAGAGTTATACCAGGGGAAGAATGTGGCCCATGATATGTAAGTTAGAGCGAAGCATTTTTATCGGATCACCCGTCCTGCCCCAAGCTTCCCTATTTAGCATTATATAGAGGGTGTTTGGCAGAGGTAGGAATCGGTCATGTTTAGTTTTGATAACACATTTCTATATTAAAAACACTACTGAAGAAATAATCTAAAACATATTGGTAATAATTTGCTCATGAACTATCACTGAGTCAGGGGAAAAGGCTTAAAATATGCCGTGACCCCAAATTCTCATAACTGGGTGAAACCCCTGGAGCCAGTTATAGGTCCCATCCAACTTAAAAAAGTGGTCATATTGTAACTGGATCCCAGAGTCAATTAGAATTGTGGCATAGATGGGTCTAATTCATCACCCTGTTAAGAAGTCCAGCATCCTTTTCTGGGTACAAGGAATGGGTGTTAATCTACTGCAGTTAAAAATGCTTTGAAGTGCAAAGTTTAAGCAAAGCCAGCCTGAAAGAGCAAAAAGCCGGTGCAAACTCACCTGTTACACAGAAGAATAACACCACCAGGCACTTGGCTAATAAAATCCCCCTAATGCTCATTTTCAAAATCCTAGCTCCAAACTATCCCTGCGTGAAGAAAGCTCCTAGCCAGACAGATGAAGTTCTATTATGATCAGCAGTCTTTCAGTGTGTCAGCATAGCCCTTGCACCTCTTGTCCCCTCCTCCTCTTGCTCGCTGTGACACGTCTCATTTCTGTCACACACGTGAACGGAGTGAATCTGGTACTCTGTCCAAGATTGAGGGACAACTTGCAGGGACTAGGAAAGTAAATGTCTCAAACATCAGAATTAACCCCCAATTTTGTCCAACTTGAGAACAGAACCTGAGCCACATCTTCCTTCGATGTTCAGAGAAGGACCTTGATTGCTTCTTCATCCATATCCCAGAGGAAGAGATGTGAGGAAGCCTTACTATTCTTCTGCTGCCACATTTGACCTGCTTTGGGAGGTCTTGTTGGGTGAGAATGAAAGAGGGCCCAGCAACCAGCTTTCTCTCTCCAGGATCTTCAGGGACTAGCCAGCAGTTTAAGAATTTGCTGAAGTCTGTTTAGAGGACGTGTTTTGTGTAGATAACAGAAGCTTCAAAGTAGCTTCAAACAAGCATTTGAACTTTGAGAGGCTTTTGAACAGAGACTGAACTCCAGACTTTATGCAGGTCACCTGTAATTAGCAGTTCTATGCAAGCTTTGTTGAAAGCACAGAAAAAGGAGGAAAAGATTGGTTACAATTTTTCAAATTTAAAAGCGGGAAGGCAGGTCTACACTTGCAACGCTGCATCCGCAAAGCTACACTGATGCAACTGCATCTCCACAGCATGTTAGTGAAGATGCTCGGTGCCAATGGGAGAGAGCTCGCCTGTCGGCACAGTTCATCCACCCCTGTGAGAGGCAGCAGGCATGTTGGTGGGAGACGCTCTCCTACTGACATAATGCTATCTACCTGTTAGCCGGTGGCCGGGATAATGAGTGGTCTGTGAGTCCTATCACACCCGAGTCTTTGACTGCTAGGACAGAGTCCCTTTGCAGCGGGCAGCCAGGGAGGCTGACGGGCGCCCCAAGAGTCTGCCCTGTGGAGGCGGCACAACTCAACGCTCAGCTCTTACTGCGTTTACCCCTGACCGGCTATGGTTCTTTTTTATTGTGTTTGGTTCTGTTACAGCAACAGGAGGAGTCAGGTTAAAAGCTTAAACAGTTACTATTTTATTGTTACAAGGCAAGCTTAGCTGTTAAATGTTACTGCTGCATTACAGATAACGCAGCCACTACAAAGACAAGACAGAAAATACAGTAACAGTCACTTAAAGGTACCATGGAACCCTTTTGCTTCTCTGAGCTCTTATTGAATGTGCGCAAAAATAGACACCTAGCAGGTATATTCTCACCCCTGCGATCCTTACTCTGGTGAAGCCAGCGCTTCTCTCAATCCCAATGGGAAGCAGTCGATATGAGATGAAGGAGTCTCTAAAGTCTCAGGGATCCAAGACCGCCTGACCAGCAGGTATATGGGTGGATCTCCAATTAGAGTGGAGCACAGGGCCCAACTTTATACCCCTGTGGTCACGTAGACGCTTTTCTTGTCATTAAAATGCCAATTAAGTTGGAACGTCTTTGTGACACCCATTCCCACAGGGGGTCCAAAGCTTAATTTGCACCTGTGAGGTGGAGGTAACTAAATCATTAGGGCTGGACATTCTTTCTGATGGGGCAGCAGATTCCTCTTCTGGGACGGTGTGTGTAGGCGTATCAATACTGGTACCAGCCAAGGGCAGCTCGAGGCCCCGATCGCCTGCTGGCCCAATTGCCCTGTTTATCTGGTTCCTTTCTAGCATCCAGAGCCATTGTCACCTCTGGAGGCCCTGGAGCCTTTGAAGACAGAGTTTCACTCTCAAGGATTCTCTCTCCCAAGGATGTCAGAGGGAGAAGGGGAGGGGGGGGGGGGGGGGGGTTCTATCTGGCTACACTACCCCAGCGCTTAGGTCAATGTAACTTTGTTGCTCAGGGTGGGGATTTCTCATATCCCTGAGCAATGTATTTACAGCAAAGTAATCCATTAGCATAGTCCTGGCCTTTGGTGAGACTTTTCTTTTAACCATATTGCTTATTCCCTTTCATTGTAGCTACTTTTTATAAGGAAAGCTCTCCCTCTCCCTCTCCCTCATCTGACAGTGGTGGTATTAACAATGGGAACAATGTCTTTTGGGGGAAAGGAGGAAAAGTTAGTTGAAGTTGCTAGAATCTGATCCTGCTTCCTTCAAACCAAAACTGAACTAATGTATACACAAAAGGGGAGAGAAAAGAATACAAAATATAGAAAATATGATTTCTGTCTCAGGTGTTGACTTTCCCTTACAACATGGAGTAAAATGAACACAGCCCATAGTCTTATCAGCAACTGGTGACCAGGCAGTTTAAAGATTTGCTTTTAGCTACCTTTATAACAACAGATTCACAGCCGTGTAGCAAAGGGCAGAGCTACCTTGACTAAGACAGATGGAATGTGAGGATGTCACTTCCTGTTTCTTTGTTCATGGCTGCTGCTTTCCTAAGATGGCTGCAGAAAAAACCCTCAGATCTTGCACCAGGGTTTTATCCACAGGTGTACTTTCCCCCCCCATGCTCTTTGTCTTTCCTTTCTTTTGCCTCAGTCTAATAACACTGCCTGGACTTTTGCTTATGCACCCAGCCAGTATAATCTCCTTAGGACTCTACCCAGTCTTAGCTGCTCCTAAATGTCTCCCAAACAGATCACTATGATACGGCATTAGCATACAGTGGGTGGTCATAGGCTTAGTCCCACCCAAACACTCATGTGCAGGACTGACCTGGCTTGATTCTATTGGATTGGTCTCCCCTCCAGACCTTGGAATACTTCAGCTTGCGCTGGGAGCTGTCTCTAGGTTTCCACCGGTTTGTGCTACCTTGCAGTTTCCCTGACGGTGCTGCCTACCAACCAGAGCAATTGTCGTTACCTTGGAGCTGGCCAGAATCTCTGCCTTTAGCTGGGGGGGTAGTCTGCCAACTCCTCTGTGGTCATATCATAGTACGCCTTCTGGGCCTCCCTGCACAAGTAGGGGGTGAGGATGCCCAACCACAAGGCTGTTCTCTCAGAGGTCAGGAAGTGCCCCATCACCTCCTCCTCCTGTGTTGTTTTCTGTAGACAGTAGCTAGCCTGTATAATCCCTTCATAGCCACGGCTCATCTTTCTAACATCCTTTACCTGGTTTACTAGTTCCTATAGTATGGCCTGATCCTGGCTGGTGCTGCACAGTCTCCTGCTGGGTAGTGGTGGCTTGCACCAGTGCTTCGACCATTCCTCCAGCTTGGGGATAGATTGGTCATGACCTACCCTGTGTTATATTCTCAGCACAAAAATCTCACCCTCAACATCATAGTATGATGGCTCCTGTGCTATTTTTGGTGCGGGGCTAGGTTATCACCCATTGTCCCTGCTCTAATGTCCCAGCTAGTGGCACAGGAAGGTGGTAGAGAAGGGAAGCAAGGAAAAAGTCTGGGTCTGAGCCTCAGCCCCTCTCAATCCCTGCAAGTTTCTTATTCTCTTCCCCCTTGATTAGGGTTACCCTCTGTCCTTGAGGCTGGCGGAGGGAATCCCCCAATGTGTTGGGACAGGGTCTTCCTTCCTTTTAAGTCTCAGCAACACAGCTCCAAACTCCAGTGCTCTCTTCTTCCTCACTCCACACTGTCTGCCTTGAATCACGGGCCAGGGGTTATTAGATTCCTGATAGGGGCTTAATTGGTTACAGGTGCTTCAATTGGCCTGCAGTAACCTTCACTAGTCTACAAGGAGTCACACATTAATGTGATACAGCATTCTAATTAGGTTCCTGACAGGGCCTTAACTGGTTACAGGTGCTTCAATTAGCCTTCCCTAGTCCATAGTGAACCATGCCTTAATTCGCCTAGTGCTCACATATCTCTCCTCTAGCACTCTCTCACTACTCCCTGGCCCTGATGTACCAGAACACCAATATACTTACCATCATAAATGGCTATACCCTCTAATTCCCTTGGTCCTCAACGTCAATGGTTCAATGATGACTCCCATTGACATCCCTAAAATGGGTTTATAAAAGTGACAAAAGATATAGCAGTGTCAACTTACATTTGTGTGCATGAGAAAAAGCTATTGGTTACTCCTGTACATCTGGAAGCACAGAAGGGGCCCATGTTTGTTTAGACTTCCACCAAGGTAATGCCATTATTGCTTCCAGGCCAATGGTAACAGTCACTCAGCAATAGTTTTAATGAATGCTAATTATTAATGTATCCATAACTGGTGTACTGAATTTTTGGTAAATTTCTTCTACAGAATAGATCATAATTCCTATGTTCTATATATATAGTATATAAAGATGTGATATTGACTTCATGTTACATAATGCAACCATGCAGAATATTCATGCACATTTTGTATTATACCAACATATAGAACCAATAAATGTAGGAGTTAATATATTTGTGTTAAAGCAGTTGGTGAGACACCTAGACTGAAAGAAACACTTAAAGGAGTTAGAACACCAGAACAAAGAAGGCCATCTCTCAGATCACTACCCCTTGCAAAAACAGAAAAGTTCTTGAAGAGAATATGGGTATGAATCATCTTTTGCACACTGGTGGGAAAGTTTATACTCTAGTCCTCCCAGTTATAAGGAAGCATGGAGTGTCACCTTATAAGGAAGCATGGGCTGCCACCAGTAAGGACCAAGATTATGCCACCATGTAAGCCTACTAATAAGAAATGTGGCAACATGATCATTAAAAATCATCAACTCATCAAGCAGGGAATTATAGGGCAAATTTCACCTTCTTGGCTTGTTTCACCATTTTCTTTTGCTTAAGCTGTTTCCTCTTTGTCCCTTTCTTTATAACCCTGGTGTTGCTTTTTTTGAAGTTTGATGTGAACTTGTGGCTGGAAATAGTCACATGACATCGAAAAGTCTGCTCGGCTATAGGAGGGTTATAAAAGGACTGTGAGACCAGCACCAAAGGCTGTCCACCCCAGTGGCAACCCAGTGCCATTTGCCCATGCATATTATCTGTGTCCATGTGACCCCTAAAGAAGATGAGGATTCCAATTTACCTGCCTGTTGCCTACGTTTCTGATCCTGTCCTTGTTGCGTCACTAGTCCTAGTCACGTGTGCTGTCTCAAAGAAATCTTAAGGACTATATCCCAGTGTTTCTTGTGGTTCCTGTCTGAGGTCCATTCTATTTCTGTGTCTGCAAGACATGGTGATGTACTGAGTTATTGAATTACTTGTTATCTATCTATCTATCTTGTTTTGGAGTCCCTGGCTTTATGCCAAACTTTGGGTGTCAACAACTGAATGGTTTTGTTGATATTTGTTCAATAAATACTCAATTATTTCCTGCCTTTCTTCATATCTTTGAGTGGGACAAATCACCACCAGCATGGGGGCTAGGTTTATATAATTTTGGTGGTGCCCAGAACAAGTTCAAGTCCTGTCACCCGACATCTGCCTTGTAAGTTGGTATCTATATATTTTTAAACAACATAAAAATGGAT